AAACAGATTTCTACCACCCCATAGACACACACGCGACTAAGCTAAATATACCAAAAAGTCACTTATCTTCGCAGGAGCTCCGGGAAACACGTCCTCTTCCTCAGGCGTTCACGGCGAGGTTTTTTTAATTTAGTTCTGGCGTTGCCAGACTTGTACACTCAATCAATTTTGGCGGAATTTCCGACTATAGTCCGTTGCAACTCAAGAAGGTAGGGCGAGGGTAAGACGGGCCGGGGAGGAGGAAGCAGACGGAATGCTAGAAAAGAGAGGGGGAAACCTCCTTCTCGCTTTAGCTTTTCGTCTGCTTCCGCCTCCCCGGCCCGTCTTACCCTCGCCCTACCTTGTCCATAATATGCAGAATTAGGTTGAGCCACGGCCGGACTGGAAGCGCGCGCTCTCTTTCTCTTCCTGCGGCCTTTGCAATTGGGGCAATCGCCACCTCCTGCCGCAATTCGCGGGGGGCGTTGTCACCTCACCCTGGGTTGTCGTTTGCACAAAGCGCGTCTGACAATGTATCTCAACGCTGTCGCAACTTGCGGCCGAGATTTTTATAGCCTTTGACACCTGATCCTTACGTTTAGACCCTCAGCCACTATCTAATCCGCTTCTCATGAGTCCAAAACGGTGAATATTTAACGCACAACTCCGAGATATTCGGGAGAAAAAATAGAGACAGCGAATGCAATTGCGGTCGTCTTTACCTCCAGGACTTCTGTTGCAAATCAAGAGCAGGAGGAGACGGACCCCTTCTACGTGGAGGCACTTTAAATGATGAATAATTCGTGCACTCTCGTGAAATGTAAGCAGGCCCAATCTGTCTATTTCCGTGATCTGCATCGTCATTTCATAGTCCGCACATGAAGTCGGTCAGCTGCTCTAGACGACGGTGTAGTAGTCTGCACAATTTTCGCACAGTGCCTATTACAGCCTAAAGTGCTTCTTCGAGGGCTTGTGCACATATCCAGCTGATTTTTCGTTTCTGTCCGTGACCGTCTTTGCATGGTTAATCAGAAGTATTCTGAGGAACCGTTGCCAAAGCAACAACCTACGAAGCTCGAACACCACGCAAAGCAGCTCGAAGGGACTCTCCGAGTGGGGTGAAGTGGGGTGAGGTGGTTTAGCCCCTGGCGGCAAGCAAGTGAACTACGTACAGAGAAAAAATGCCATTGACTCCCGGGCGATTACAAAGGCCATAAGAAGAGAAAGAGAGCGCGCGCTTTCAGTCCGGCAGTGGTTGAGCGTTGCCAGGATGGTTGAGTATCTAAAAGGTTAATTCTGGTCAAAAATCAAATAAAAATAAATGACTAATATCGATTTACGGAGAATGGGAAACCGCGATTCACTCTAAAACTGATATTGAAATGTTACCACCAGCTTCTTAGCGGGTCTGTCCTCTCCCCTGAGCCGTGCAGCTGATCATGAGGGTTGCCATCATTCTCGAGCTGGTAGTCTCAGTTTCGCCGGAGAATCCCAAAACCAAACTTTGAGATAAGATATCTACCTAACTACACAAGGAACCAAAAAAAAAAAAAAAATACACCTCGTTTTTTGCCGACAATTCCTGCACTAAAATCAGTTGTAACCCTAAAATCGAGGAATACGTACCGGTGTTACCCTTTTACGGCAATTGGAGAACACTCCACCCCTCTTGCAACACTGTTCCCTCCCGCACTCTTCTAGGTTTTATGTTGCCAGACTGGAGGAGAATCCTGACAGCTTAGCAGGAATTCAACCCAATAGTGTTTCAGGACTGGTGAAGGACCAATCTTGGCGGAATTTTTAACATGCTGGTAAGACATGCCCAGTGCTGCATACAGAGTGTTGCCAGACTGCAGGGAGATCTGCCGATTTAGCTAAAATTCTTCGATAGTCTGGCAACTCTGTTCCTATGTCCCTCCGCATTAGGTAGTTTTCTCAGTCTGGTGAGGGATTCTGTCAAAATGTTTAATTGGGCAGCCAGCCCAACCGTCTGTCAACCATGAAACAGTGCGTAGCCTACGAGTTCGTACCTTTCCGCTAAAAGTACTACATTTCACTATTTTTAGAGCGCAGCTCTTAGGCGCCCGTTTTCGCATATAGCGGTATGGGCGTCGCCGTCGGCGTGACCGCGCGCGTTGCATTATGGGACGTTACAAACCTAGCAAACACCGATTCGATTCTCTGCTAAGTTTAGCCAAGAAACTGATTTGTGTGTATGTCTGTGATGTCCCATAAGGCAACACTGCGCATTCAGTTACCCCGCTAAGTTTAGCGGCAAAACTAACGTCACGTGACCTCAACACCAATTCAGTTTCCCGCTAAATTTAGCTGGGGAATTAAATTGGTGTTGAAGTCATGTGACGTCAATTTTCCCGCTAAATCTAGCGGGGAAACTGAAACTCTTAGTAGCTCGTTCCCATGTTTTGCGGCGTTGGCGTTGCCGTAACCGGAGGAGGAGGGTAGGGTACGCAGGAGGAGGGGGGGTACAGGGGAGGAGGTGAGGGTATGGAGCAGAAGGAGGGGAGGGTACACAGGAGGAGAAGGGGAGGATACTGAGGAGGGCACGAAGGAGGAGGGGAGGGTATGGAGAGAAGCGGGGGAGGGTACAGAGGAGAAGGAGGGTAGGGTACGGAAGAGTAGAAGGGGAGGATACGGAGTAGGAGGACACGGAATAGGAGGAGGGGAGGTTCCGTCCCCTCCTCTTCTCCTTCTAAAGAGCTGCGCTCTAATTTCGCATTACGGATTTGTTAACGTTTTTCATTTTTCCCTCCTCCTCCTCCGGTTACGGAGTCGGCGTCGCCGTAACCCGAGGGTACACAGGAGGAGGAGAGGGTACAGGGGAGGAGGGGAGGGTATGGAGGACGAGTAGGGGAGGGTACGAAGGAGGAGGAGAGGTTATGGAGAGGAGTAGAGGAGGGGGCGGAGGAGGAGGGGAGGGTACGAAGGAGGCGGGTACGGAAGAGAAGGATACGGAGGAGTAGGGGTGCTTCCGTACCCTTCCCTCCTCCTCCTCAAGAGCTGCGCTTTAATTTCGCATTACAGGTTTATAAACGTCTTTCATTTTTTTTTATTCAGAATAGAAACAAGTAATAAGTAAGTTCCAGGGGGTGCCGCCGAAGTGCTCCTGTTGACTTGATGATTTGCTGGAGGCACTCCATGGAGGTGGTATAACCGCCATAAATACGCAGAAACGGCGTTGCATCGCGGCTGGTGCGGACGCAGTCATTATTGACTTACCTGCTTCCTGTCAGACAGAACGCTTATGATACCTTTTGAATAGCGCATTCATGCGTTTTCGTTGTGTCAGAGAGTCGTGCGAGATTGCTGTCTGACAGCAACAAAGATGGTCGTAGGACGTAATGTGAACTCATGACGCCATTCCGTGGTAGGTAAAAAGGACAAATTTGTTGCGTGGATGTTTAGACTGGGCATCTTCAACCAAGCTCCAGTAATGAGCTGTCGATACAGTTTTGGGGAAACTGTTACAAGCAATGAGAGTTGACCACTCTGCTTACGCAGTCTGCGTGCAGTTAGACTTACCCTGCATGTACCACCCCTGGCGGTGCAAGAATGATATACAGGGTGTTTCTTTTAGTCTTAACAAATTTCTTTTAAAAATAATTCGTGAAAGCTACAGTAATGCGACCTTTGCAGATGAGTTATACGACCAGGGAACAAGAGACAGGGGACTAATCGTCACGATAAGTCAAATAATGAACTCAAGCTTTTTAATTAACTTCTTAATTGGTGAAAATAAACATGTGGCTACAATTAGAAACTTGCTGAGCATAATCGAACACTAAATTAGTAATTTTCAGGAAGACTTTGAGCACGCGGAAAGCGCTGTAGTGCGCTGAAGTTCCCACTCGTGCCAACAGGCACAATACTGATAAGACAGTGAAAAACCCCGCGGGCGCGTTATCGCACCCGTAGCCTTGCCCCTGCTGCACGGGTGGCAAGTTTAGCGCTCCACCATGCTTCCCAGGTGCTCAAGAATTTTCGAAGTTGGCTGGTTTAGTGGTTTTCGACGACGCTCAGCCACTTTGTAATTAGAACCATTGGTGTGTCTTTTTTTCACAAATTAAAAAAGTTATTTAACGTGTAGTTAATTATGCGGCTTATCTTGAGGATGTGCCTTCTATATTACGTCCCCCTTTTCGTAACTCCCCTGCACGAATCGTATTTACGGCTTTTTTGAAGGAATCTCTAAAGCTTATAAAATACACACTGTATAAAATCTCTTTTGGGACCCAAACCCGATGTAAAAGGAAATGTAGTAGAATATGATACTCTATAATATGCACAATAGGGACTTTTAGCAAACCGTTACCGCGTTCCGCGTACCGCACTACCGGAGCCTTTGAGGCATGCTTTTAAGCACGTGCCCCGCGGTCGCAGTATCACCCGGGTGCGCGCTTTGAAGCACGCTTCAAAGGCTCCGGTAGTGAAATACGCGGAACACGGTAACGATTTGCTAAAAGTTCCTAATGTCCGCGACCAACATCGTTCCAAATTTGCTACCAGTGCATCGTAAGCAACGAGCGCGTGCTGTTTTTGGCTTCTGCCGCAGAAGCATGTTCTGATGTTGCTGTTGTTCCAACGTCGCTTGGAACAAATTTCTCCCGGACGCACCCGCACTGCGTTGAATCACAAGAAGCGTTCACCCCAGTCAGCAACAAAAACGAGCACCGCCCCCTTGAAGCAGCATCCCACCTAGAACAGCCATATTTCGATAGGCCGAGCCACGCTCGCTGGTGGACCTATGCCATAACCGGATTTTCGCTCATTGCACATCGCCCGATGCACTCGCTGTAGGGTCCGCTGTTACCAATCGTATATTTACAAACAGCAAAGACCACAGCGCAGCCGTTGTGGACAGACGAGATCATGAGACAGGCTCGAGTCGCTTTGGCGAGAACAGTCTCTCTCGCGCCTTCCGCATGCATCCCCTGAGCCAACGAAACGACTCACGGAGTGATGTCACAATACTTCGTAACTAAATGAAGAGCCTCGAGCCGGACTCAGTCCAACTTGTGGCACTCGAAGAGCATGACGCTCTTCTTCTTGCGGTACGTGTCGAAGTAGAAGATCATGAACCAGACGAAGAAGACGAGTCCCTCGAACACCAGGATGACCGAGAACTCGCGCACAAATTGGCCCTCGAAGAAGAGCGGCAGGCTGTTGTGCAGCATGAGCACGATGAACTGGGCCAGCTGGATTTGGGTAAGGTAGCGCTTCCACCAGAGGAACGGCTGCACCCGGGGGCCCAGGGCCGATAGGAAGTAATACGAGTACATGAGCAGGTGCACGAAGGTGTTCATGCACGTCACGAAGAGCGTCTGCGCCTGGCCGCCGTACGTCACGCAGATCCACATGTTCCAGGCGATGATGCAGTGGTGGGTCACGTGCAGCCCGCTCACCTGCGACGGTTGGAGGAGAGTACCATGTGACATCGATGAGAGGTTGATGCAAAGTCGAAGACTAAGGAACTAGGCGTGCCTGATCGTACCACTTGGGGGTGATAAGAGCAACTTTTGTCTACGGGATTTATTGTGTGCCTCCTTAACATTCAGCACTTTTAAAGGGGTTAGGATACGAAAACGAAATGGGTAGATTAATCTTATTTAAATTGAATGCTCATAGCTATTTAGTATACGTATACACTAAGTTTCGTTGATTATTTTAGTCTGGCGACTAGACAACACTGCTCATGTTAGCCGCACCATGGCGCCCATAAACCACGTGATTATCCCATTTAGTTGAACGCTCTCTCATTCTAGGCGCCCCAAATGCTTGCCCAAGCTCGCCTCACCACGGTACGATCCCGCAGTCTCTCCTTGCCCTTCCACCCTGCATGCACGTGCGAGATCGTCGCGGATGATGGCCAGTCGTTCGTGACAATCTCGTCGTCACTGGAGCTGGTCGCGAGCGGGTCGAAGTCAAAATGACTTCGACCCGCTGGGAAGTTTGTGTTTGTCCGTCCCTGCTCGCTTTGTTCCTCAAGTTTAATTGTCCCTACCAACCCGCTCGTCCTGCCCTTAAAATGACCAGGTTCCAACATCCTTTGATAACAATACGGAGTTTTAGTGGATCGTGTTTTCAGGCCGCGCTCTTTGTAGCGGTAGCTCGCGCTGCCACTTCGATGCGTGCTCTGGGGCGCGCGCCCGTGGCGATAGCGGGCCTTCGAAAACGTTCTACTAAAACTCCCTAATCACACTTATCGCTGCAGCAATCAGCATCAAAGTCTGACGAAGGAAGCGATGCCGTAGATGTTATCGTCTCGAAATTGCGTGCTCGAAATGGGGAGGGCAAACGAGGAAGCTGAAGCGAGAGACGCCGAGAGAACCACGTCTGCGAAGAGACGCCGTGCGTTGGGCGAATTACGTCACCGGCCCAACAAACATGGCGGCATTTTCGGATGGGGCGGCTCCGATCGATTTATCCACGAAGCTATCGCACCGTTTGCAAAACAAATTTATCAGAAGAAACGAAAGAAGTTTACAATTCTCTGTAATGCCGAATTATAGCGCAGCTCTTGAGGAGGAGGAGGGGAGGGTACGAAAGGAAAGGTCACGCACGTGACCTTTTCACACGTGTGACGTGTAGCTTGTGTAGCACGTGTGACGTCACACGTGCTAAATATAGCGGGGAAAATTTCCTGCTAAATTTAGTGGAAGAATTTTCCCGCTAAATTTATCGAAAAATTTTGCCCTCGTGACGTCACACGTGACGTTACGTGTGGTGTCATTAGCGGAAACGGCCGATGATGCAACGCGCGGTTACGCCGACGGCGACGCCGCTTAAAACAGGAAACATGTGCCTTAGAGCTGCGCTCTAATATAGGGACATGCAATGGGTCCTAGCAGTACAGTTATCTCATGCATTATTTTTAGCGTGTCCTAACCCCTTTAGGAATGTCCTTGCGTATACTTAGTAGCAGAGCAGTGGAGAGTCAATCACTGCAACCTTCGAGGAGAGCGCGTCGAGTAACGAGTTCAAAAATATGCTTAGACCTACAAATATAGTCCGCAATGTGATATTGAGCGTATCGTGGACATGGTCTGTGCGACGCGCACGACAAAATGAAAGAACCGTGGAGCCTTCTCAGGAAATGTGGCTATTTCGGCGCAGGCGTACGTTTTCAGGCCCGTTCAGACACTCGCGGCTCCCGAGGACCGAGTGCCTGGAAACGACTTAAAATCTCTTACGACGAGAGAATTCAGACGCATGCTGGCGCCATCTATGAGTGACCCTGGAACTCCATTTTACTAGGGCGGAGGTTGGGCAGTATTTGCGAGGTCGCATGCACATACTAGTCATAAGAAATGGTCGCCTATCACATTGACAAAATATTTTCGAGCCAAAAGAAGAAAGAATAATATGAAAAAAAAAAAAGGAAATATACGGGACCACCAAGTGGTCCACCCGGTAGGTGGCGCCAATGTGTTCTCTCGTCTAGAATAACTAGTTACCCCGCTCTCGTCATAAGAGACCTTAAAGGGGCACTGAAGTCATTTTTGAAAAAGGTCGGTTTGTATTGTTGTCTTGTATCTTGTATTGTTTAAAATGTTTTAGTTTCCGCATATACCAAGTCCTATATTACAAAACCGCCTACTCATCTCAAGGCAAGAGAAAAGCACGTGGACTCTTTTTTCTCGCGAACTACATTGCGTGGACCAATGAAAGCCGTACAATACGCGCAGATTCCGAATGATTTTATTATAACTCGTTTCGAAGAGAGTCTCATAGGTACACATTCGGTTAAGACTACTCTTTTTTACCGCGGGAGAAGCCATCGCTTGCCACTCGCCGACAAGCGCCCTTCGTTGACCACTTCACTCGGAAGAAAAAATTTTTCCCAAAAGCGCGTGTTGATAACTTTGAACAAGCTTTCAACGAGGAAATAAGCTACGCACGGTTGTGGTTTTGGGTTTGTTGGGATGCTTAGACCGTCTGGAGTGAGTTGTCACCACAAAAGGATGATCTCCGAGTCGACTTCAGTGCCCCTTTAAGAGGTTACAAGGCACACGGTTCTAAGGAGTCGCCAGACCTACAAAAAATAGTTTCCGCATGGTAGGAAAATCCATCTCGCCACCCTTCCCATTTCCCCTGTCCCACTGCCATCTTGAGGCGAGGAACACCTTTTGTTGCTGCATCTTGGGGCTGGATAAGCTGGGATCTCGACGTATCCAGCCCCAAGACGTAGCAACGAAAGGAGTCCCCTCCCTTAGGTCACTTGGTACCCACATCGGCTATACACAAACAGGGGCTCCACACTAAGGAGACTGAGGCGTCAAATTTCTTCCCTTCTATCCTTGTCTGTATTACGCTCATCACGAAGCGAATTTTTATCGTTCACGCGATGAGCGTAAAGCCGATCTGCACGATCTGCCCTTAGCTATCACGCAGCAGCGGGAGCCACTCGCTTGGTTCGAATAATGCATCCGGGTAATGACCGATGCCTCAACGGTGCAACGGACCCAAGCTACCCCGAGTGTAAGTACTTCCTCGGGATAATTATTCGTCGACGGGGCACTGGTCGTCTTCCTTGTGCTGGTGGAAGCGGAAGGTCTATGATGGTTCGTAAGGTCGGCGGGCAGATCTATTTACCTCTGGGTTTTTGGTCTACGAGAGGTCCCACCACCACGTGACTGAGAATGTGGAAGAGAGAATGACGAGATACTAAAGAGAAAGAAAGGTGTAAACAGCGCCTTGTCTGTGTGTTTTCTCGTACTCCTCCTAGGTCTTTTAACGCTACTCCCACCAAATAAGTATGCACCACCAACAAGCCCAACTACGTGCATTGTTTGAATTTCAGTGGCGTACGTAGCAGAAGGGGGAGAAGGGGGAGGGGGGGTTGGACGGGGATATCAAATCTTTGTAATGTATTTGGGTCATGCTTAGACGAATCCATCTGAACAAAAGGACGACGAAAGGAGCCAGCAGACGTTCAGCCCTATCCTTGCTATTAAAAAAAAATAATCCAACATTTATTTTATTTTCCTCCGGACGTTTCCAATGTTCATTACCGCAGAGTCTAATCCTTCTGTCGCTCATCGTTAGAGAATAGGAAGGTCTCACCATTTTCAGGGAAGGGACAAATGCAGCAATAAACACTTGACACAAAATGACATTTCTAAATTTTCGCCGAATGCAAATGCCCTCATCTCATCCTCCTTTCTCTTTCAACACTTACGCCGTCGCCCTTTAGTTACCTCAGGTTGGGGGGACCGGTGGTCGAGTGGGCTAGCGAACGCCAGCTGGGAGGAGCGAAAGCTCGCGCTGCAGAACCCAGGGTACAGTGTACCCAGGCTCCAATTCCCACCCCTGCCTGTTCCGATCCGGATGGCCAACGTACAGGAGTGCGGTCATGTATCATTAGGGAGTTTTCGTAGATCGTTTTCGTCCCTGTACGGTACCCGAACCTCTACAGCCAAGGCCATCGGCGCGCAAGCGCGGTAGCGGCTTCTTCGTTGCGGAGGGCTTAGCGAAGCGGGAAACGCGGTCCACGAAAGCTCCCTGTTACTGCGCGAGGCACGTTAAAGACCCCAGGCTAGCAGTTGTACTCCACTGGATAAATTTGTTACCTACAGTGGGTAACAATGTCGCCACGTTTCTGGTGGATTAACCTTCCACTGTATAAACAACTAACGACTAATTGCTTTTAGCTGGGTTCGTTCGAGTTTAGTGTTCAGTGCACGCGCCCCTCTCCCTTCGTTGTTTCTCTTTCAACTTTCCATGGCGACATAAAGAATTACCGACTAGCGCACTGCGTTTCCGCGGTCAAGGTCAATCGCACCGCTTCGTCGCTCGTAGATGTTCGAGGCGGAGCCCGACTGCGCCTTTGTTTTGCAACTCCAGCTGGCCACCTGGGCCACCTCTCTTGCGTGGAGCAGTGAGTGCGATACTCTGCTTTTTGTCGCGTGTCTGTCGCGGCACCGTTAACACAAACAGACACATGTGTCTGTTCGTGCTACCGGTGCCAGGGCAGACACATGCGTCAATCTTTTCACTGTGGTCCCTGCTTTTGTTGACGTAACCTTAGACTAGGTGTCTGTCTGGATGAACAAAGAGGTCATGGCACCACATGTCATCGAAACAAGCGACACACGCGTGTAGTTAAGTTGTTCTTTGTAATCAACGGCGTATGTTTTGTTTTTTCTTTTCGTCGTGACGGATATTTTTACGGACAAGAAAGAAGAGTCCTGCTTTCTTTGTACTGCGTCAGTCTCCCCTGTCCGAAATCTGCCTCCTCCCAAATCCTGCCGCCCAAGGCTTCAGGCCTTGAGTTTGCCACTGAAGGACTGAGATAACTAAAGCTTCAGTCACTTCAGATGCGAACCGTCACTGCAGTGTGCGACGGCTCGACTATTTCTACGCGGAAGTTGTATAATATCGTGTATACACATACTCGTATGCACGATTTCATCTGAAGATACGTGCCTATGGAAAGACATTGACAGCCTTGGCCATAATATAGCAACAAAAAGGACGCTGTCGGACGGGTTGCGGGATCCCAAGACTGGCTGTTCATATGGAAAAGAATCCCGCGAAACGTCGGGAATGCAACAGTAGTAGAGCATTGAACGTGAAACCACCCAGAAGCCCGAGAAATATGGCAGGCACTTATTTAATTTTTTTTTTGTATTTTGTGTGTGTTTATACACCTGGAAGTAATCAGTCCCAATGGGCGTCTGCTGTCTCAGCTGTAGATACGTAATGTAGCCAGTGCAGTACAACCACTAACTAGCCTGGGGTCTTTAACGTGCAGAACACAGGAGTGATACACGACCGCACGTACGTTGATTATCCATATCGAAACGGGCAGGGGTGGGGATTGAACCCAGGGTCCTTGGATTCTGGCTCCGAGCTGGTGTGCGCTAGACAACTCGGCCACCGATTCCCCCTGTACTTACTTGTATATACAGTATATTGTAAGACAAACTGCCCCCCCCCCCCCCCACACACACACGCAAACACGCTTACTCGTATATACGGTATATAGTGTGTTTGTGTGTGTGTGTACGTCACATTCAAGAGGGCTGAATGTGTCTTCCCACACTGGTCTACATCACCTCGCTTACATTTGGCGATGAAGTAATAAGGGGTAGGAAAATGGCTTAACGGCATCATGCTTTTTTATAAAGCGTTCTAAAGTTCCGCCAAAAAGATTGAAAAAAAAAAACTTGTCGTTTTTGTTTTATTTTTGAAGATTTTGTTCTTTTTCATCTCGTGTAAATAGAAAACCCCACCTCTTGCGGTTTATTACAATTTAAGAGTATTTTGTTTTCTAAAACTATCACTTCTGCAACTAATTTCTATTTCAGTTAGAGCACTTTCATCTTCTACTGGAAATTTGATTACCTGCTATACAAGCATAACCAGTTTAAAAAGTTTAGTTTACTTCTTCGGGAGTTTTTGCCTGCGTACGCCGCTGGGTTGAACGTTAAAGGGCAAATCCGGTGCAAAACAAAACCAAAATAAATGACTGGTATCGCGGCACGAAATATGACCACAGCCGAAATCCTACGTCAAAGTGAAGCCGCGTACTCCACTGAAACCGATTTTAAAAAGCGACCAGCTGACTTTCAGCCAGCGGCAAGCGGGGTAGCTCTTAGTCAAGGAACACTGGGCGACACGACCGCAGCACCTCCGTGACGTCATAAGTCGTGGTGGAGCTGCGGTTGATTCTGCATGTTGTACCGCGGCTCGCAGCACCACGGTGACGTAATGTCTCGGCCGTACAGCTGATTATCAGTGTTGTCATCCCTCTAGCAGATACTTTCGGTTTTGCCGTAGACGCCCGAAAGACAGCTTTGAGCCGTGATACTGATAAAACTACACCCAATATCGAAAAAAAATTACACCTTGTAATTCAGGGACAACGAATGTGCTGAAAACAGTCGTAATCCGAAATTCGAAAATATTGACCGGAGTTTCCCTTTAAAGGCCGGGGAAGTCAGCGCAGGTGTACCACATTAACGTGCAATCGTGCGGAAACACAGAATAGCGCTAAGGAAATGTACTTAAGATACAAATATGAGAAATACGCCCCGTGGTGAAAAAGTGAGGAAGGAAAGAGTGAAAATAAAGTAATTTCGACGTGCTAAAAAAATATACTTTTTAAGTCTGCGTCTTGCATTCCGTTTTTATTATGCTGTTTCACCACGGGGTCCTCGAAAATGTCACATGAAAGCGTGTACAGGTCTGACGCCACAGACCAGCGTGGAAGGTCGTGCATATAAGGTGAAAAGATTGTGCATGACCAAAGTGTCATTATCAAGCGAATATGCGACATAGCATTTCCATAATTTTAAAGTGTACGCGAATGGACTGAAACCAACCCGGTGTTTGCGTTCTCTCCAAAGTTAACTCAAGAAGCCGCCATTGATGTTCATACATGGGTAACTTTTTCAATCACTGCACCACTGCGCAATGAAATGGTGAGGTCATAAAATTGTTAGGCCAGAAAAAGCGTTAAAAAAGAGGGGGGGGGGGGGGGAATTAGCAGGGTAGGATCAAGATGTCACGCGGGCTTTTGAAACGTTCGACTGTAGTCTCTGACCCAAATTACTCACCTGGTTGTTCTTCTTTTTGAGCACGAAGAACACAGTCTCCGTGAACTCAAAGATCCTGAACAGGTAGTACCACCAGGACAGAGAGACTAGCCGCATGGTGGCGGGAGTCTCCGACTTGTCCACCTCCTGCAGCAGCAGGTTGTAGCCGTTATGAACGTAGGCCAGTCGCACGAACTCTTCCAGGAAGAAGGCACAGTTCAAGACCATGAAGAGGTTGTATAATAGCACCATCCGCTGAATCTCGAAGGGCTTCCTGTGCTTCATCATGCGGGGGCCTACTACTTTGACGCCGTACACGTAGAGCGCCACTAGGCTCGCCAGTGGCCATAGATTGCCGGTGAGGAACCATCCTTCTGACCGGTGGTCCTTCTCCGGAAACCATGGGTCCGTAAGGACTGACTCGAGTCCCAACATGGCGGCGACCTTTGGTTAGCAGACGAAAATGTCCTCCCTCGGCAATATGGCGACGATCTTCTTCAGGAAGTAGACGACGCCCAGGTCTTATTGTCGAGGGTACGCCTCTGCTGTCTTTTTTGGTGCGGTTTCTGGGTGAACCTGCAAAAAAAAAAAAATGTGGAGAAGGCACATGTTAGGGGCGTTGTACGCTGAGTCCAGGTCCCGTGCACGCATCGCGACATAAAACATAAACGGGCTTGCGCCGGATTTTCTCATTCTTCTCTCAGAGCAATAAGGCTGTCATCCAAACAACTAGCGTGCTATAAGTCGCTTACGTCGGACATAAACGTTGGTGGGGAAAAATTGATGATCAACGCTAACTTTCACTAATCAAACGCGAAGAACCGCCAATGTCATGTGCTCGCTATAGCTGTATCGTGCAGTATATATAGAGGAGTATGAATTTGAAAACAACAGTCGACTCGTACCGCGCGAAGGGGGAAGCTTAGCATGTGCTAGTTATTTTCATCGTATGTTTGTTTTGCGGGTACCAGATGTGCCACGTGTCGTGATTGTCATATCTGCGGTACTGACGATGAGGGCATGCTATGAGAATGCACAGCCTACAGGTGCTTTGAGAAGGCACCTCCGTCATCAAATGTGCACAAGTTTTCCAACCAAATTCCGGGTCGGGTGAGGTGGGATAGAGGTTTAGAGAGAGCGTAGATCGGCGGGATATAACCAGCTTTCCCGGACACGCCCGCCTAGATCCAGGTTTTTATTTAAATAAAAACCTGGATCTAGGTTTTTATTATTGTTATTATTATTTTATTGAATCCTCCCCCCGGAGAGGGGGGAGGATCTAAAATCCTCCTCCCTCTCCGCCCCCCCCCCCCCTCCCAGATATTTCGGACTGTTAAAGGAAACAATACGGGGAAAGAGGGCGTGGTCGAGCTTATTTTAATCTAAAATTGTTTATGCATATGTATAGCTACTGTCGCTCTTCACTGCATAAAACATCGCGTAGATCAGGGGTCTCAAACTCATTTGAGTGCAGGGGCCAGATAGCCCACTCCCGAAAGGTCGAGGGCCAACCTGCGGGGGAGGGGGGGGGGGGGGGGGCGGAGAGGGGGGAGGATTTTGAGGAGGAACCTCATGCTCCATTTTTTTTTCTTTTTTAAACTCGCAGTGTAGTTACTGACATCTTCAGCTTTGATTTGCTTATAGGACTAATTTGGGTCCAGGCCTGATGTGATAACAAGATTTAAAATGGCACCACTCCTACGAGAGCAATCTCACTGCCGTTTTTTGTTCACCAATTAATTTGGAACTTATTCAAGCTCTAGATTTAGATTTATTAAAAAAAGGAGGAAATCTCTTCATATGACAGCGCTTTGTTCCCCGGGGATCCTTGATAGCAGCAGTCTAAAAAAATACTTGTAGTCGAATGCAGGGTGTCGAACCGGAAGCGAACCGAACCGAAAACCGGAACCGAAACGGTATTTTTTCCGGAACTGAACCCGAACCCGAACCGTTATATTGTTATCGCGATGAACCCGAACCGGAACTAAACCGGAAAAAAAATAACGGTTACCGGCTCACGTCAAAACGGTTCGGCCACGCGCTGTTGACAATGAATGTGCTATCAATGCCATTTGTTTTTTAAGTGCCGTCAACTGACACACACCTCGCTTACATATTTTTCTTCTCCACTCAGTCTTAGGAATATAAACGCTGCATCCATGAATCTTGACAAACGCTGCATCCATGAATCTTGACATAGGAACCAGTATTGCGCTGGTCGCGGCTGTGCAAAAAAAAAGAAAAAAGAAAATCGCGTCACGGCATTTTATTTTTTTACAATCTCGTAAATCCTAAATGCTGCTGCGTGCTCATTTCATAACACGTTTCTAGAACGCGCGAGTTCTTGAAGCTTGCTTCCATCGGAATGAGAAAAGAAAAGGCTGTGGAGTTTGATAATAATGCATCCGGTTTCGTATAGGCGCTTAGAAGCTAACATATTTGTGAGACAGCGAACTCTTCTATTTTAATATTTATCCAATTACGTCCTTCTGGCGTTGCGTTCGGTGAAGTGTTTTTCATATTTCGTATCTTGTTTAATGAAAACTTCTTTAAGGGTCTATTTTGAGTTACCGAAGGCTAGTTCAAATAAAGAAAGCTGTATTTTCTCCCCACTGTTCCTTCAATTGCTTACACGCCGAGGTGGCGGGATAGTTAACGAGTTGTACTTGTAAGTGGGTTTGTAAGGAGGTCGCGGATTTTACAGCTACTGCGTCGGGCCCAATTAGATGAAGTCCGAATGCGTAAACGTCGGTGAAATTACCTTTGAGTGCACATAAAGAAACCATTCCTGGTAGAAATCCCTGAGCCTTACACTACGATGTATCCCGTTTCGTATGTGCTAATTTCAGATGTTTTATTTGTAATTTATTTTGATGTTGCAATTTGTCATTTATAATTTCCGAACCGGTTCGCAAACCGGTTCAGCGCCCCGAACCGGTTCGCGAACCGGTTCGCGGATCGAATTAATCGAACCGGAACTGAACCGGAACAAAATAAATTTACCTGAACCTGAACCGTAACCGAACCCGTATTTTTTTCGGTTCGACACACTGGTCGAATGGTGATTTCTTCTTAAGGTAAAAATCTCAAGCTCTTAGCTCTATCATTGACCCTTCCTCTGCTGAGTGAGAGTTAGTGCAGCCAAAGTGTGTCCTTGAGCGAAGTGCTCGTGCTTGCAGCCTAATAGCGAAATTGTGGTACAGGTCAGGGGTAATGTGAGAAAACTTGGGGAAGCAAAGTATAAAAAAAGACACAAGGCCAATGAAAACAGAAAGGTAACTGTGTAAATTCGTTATAAGAGTAGAGCTATGTTTCGAGCCGGCAATAAGTCAGCAACATGAGATCATTATAGCGCATGCCATTTCTTGCGCTCAAGGCATGGGAACGAGGGCTCACTGACCGTTGCCCGCGGGTCGCGTCCCAGCGACTAGCGGGCCGCGTGTTTGACCAATACCAGTTTGAGACCCCTGGCGTAGATGGTCATTGTTAGAAACTCGTTGTCAGAGGGCACTACTTGTCACATACTTAGTGGTTTGGAAGTTCAAAGCTATGTCTTTTCAACCTAAATAACTGTGCCATAAGTAAAAAAAAAAAAAAAAAAAAAATAAACATAACAATAAATGCGTGTATGAAAAGCTGGAGAAAAAAGAAACTATCAAAAACCCGCCGGAAGTGGTGTATTCTTGCATATTCAGAGGCCCAGAACTCTCAAACAAGTTTCTCCTACCAAAAACGTGTACAGGCTGAAAGAAATACGTCCCGGAAACGTAAAACGAGAGAAAAAAAAATGCTTTGTTTTTTAATGACGTGCTGAACTTGAACAATATTAGAAATCTTCCCCCATGAGTTAATTTATTCCTCAGCGTGAAAAAAAAAAACAATAAATACATTATTTTGTATTCTGCACATGGCAATGATATCTACTGTCTGTGGTGTTAATTTAAATGCGGTACCTCACACAATTTAGACGAAAACAATTACCAAGTTTAGGGCATAATTGCCCGTAGATACGTGTTTGGACATTTCTTCGAAACTCATCTTGAACAACAATAATTATATTTTAGGACGACAATTACCTAGGCTATACATAGATCATCTAAAAAAAAATGTTTAGCAGCTCTACCACAAATAGCTTCGGCTATAGCGCGCTTCAAATATGGCACAAACGTCAATTGACAAAAACCCGTCGTCCTTCCTCGCTCCTTCGGGAATTAATTTATTTAACACTAAGCATGCCAGAACATTGAAATAAACGGCATTGTCTTTCGCAAAAAATGCGAAATTGCATGTAAAAAAAAAGGAAAAAATTACGAATGTATCTCGCTGCTTGAATCAAAATGATACCGCCCGCCGGACGTTCGAAGTTCAACGAACTTCGAACTCTTACCCTAGAAGTTCGAAGTTCGTCGACCTTTTGATTTCTCAGGGTTCGAAAGTTCGACAAATTTTCGAATACTTTAGATAAATAAGTTCGAAAATTATCGAATTTCTTAGCGTAGGAAGTCGAAAGTTCGAAAAGCTTCGAACTCTTTTATGCAAGAAATTCGAAAGTTCGAAAATCATAAAAGCTTTTAGTGTATCAAGTTCGAAAGTTCGACAAGCATCGAATTTTGCAGCTTAATAGGGTCGAAAGTCTGAAAAGAATCGAACTTTTTAGTGTAATAAGGTCGAAGGTTCGAAAAACATTGAATTTCTGGACGTGCGAAGTTCGAAAATTCGAAAAGCGTCGAACTTCTTTGTTTAATAAGGTCGAAAATTAGACTTCGGTCAAATTTCTCGATATGGAAAGTGCAAAAATCGAAATCTTTCGAACCTTTCGAACCGCTTGATTCGATCATCGACCCTTCGGTTCGAAAAAAGTTCGCGGCATCCCTAACTACGACCGACTTCGACCCAGCCGGCTTTTAAGCCGCTTACGACCGCCATCGCTACTGCTGCGCCGCCTGTCCTAAGCAGACACAGGAGGCTTAAAAACAGACTTTGTCGGAGCCGGTCGCAAGTGTGTGAACCACGCCAACGCGTTTGCTTCTATACGCGGTACTAAAACTCTCTAGTACCATACAATCCCATACCGGCTGCAGCACTACATTGGGACAGTGAAGAGTGTTGTTTGCATCCAGAAATCTCTGTCGGCGAGCCAACATCGCGAACAGTTCCACCGTGTTCGCCGAGCAGGAGAGCAAGGGGACCCTCACTAGAGCGCTTCCCGTTTTCGCCACGAGAGGGCGAGCAACGAGCTGGAGACGCGACTCCCTAATATGCACGAGCATTTATCGGGCACAGCGCACGAAAGTATGATGAAATCAAAACGAACTCAGACGCGAGAAAAAGCAAACAACGACAACACCGACCACGCGAGAGCGCCACTTTCCTTATCCGTACGCATACACGCGAAGAAAATTGAACGACAATCCGCGACGTGCAAGAACTTTCTA